GTCAATTGCCCGTAATTTATCGTGTAATGTCGGACAACTGTCGCTGATGCTAATTAGTCGACGTAAGATTATTCGATACTCGCAACAGTATTGTGTAGATATACGATTAACGACGCCAATCAGCCACGAGAGTCAATGCTGGACGTTCTTCTAGAAAAATGATGTTTCTTCGATAAGTATCGTACGTCAATGAGGAACCACTGGGTAATTTGACATTAGAAATACTTAATCGATGCATGGTGCATTTATTCAATTACTGGTCTTGAGATCCGGCAAAAGATTATTTACATATTATTTAGAATCACTTAAAATTAAATTCTGAGAAAATAATTTTTGTGAAATTTAAAATAAAAATATTTTATTGGGAAAATTTAATAAAAGGGTGGGACAGTGTAATTCGAAAGTCATTTAAAAGTAATAATTTATGAAAATATGAAAAATTATGCTATCAAACGTACATACTTATATCGCAAATATTAAAATACGAAATTGTTAATTTTATCAGAAATTAGTATATTGATTAATCGAACATTATGCATGTATAACTATAGTTACAGCATTTTTATTTCTGTTACTTTTCTTTTTTTTTCCTTTTTATTAAAATTTCTACTTTTAATTTAAATTTGATATTTCTCTTTTGCTTCTAAATTTTTCCCATGTTTTTAATTATCTAGTAATTTATTCGTACGTAATTATGATAATGTATCATAGCTCGAATAAGAATTTCAAGTATCAGGAACAAAAAGGAAGACAGATGTCGTAAACTATACAATTTTTATTCGAAGTATTACATTAAACAACACAGTCGAAGAGCTGAGTATACTCGTGCACACACAGATACATGCATACACGAGAGACACATGACACATTGGAACATATACATATATATTATATGAGGATAAAAAAAAAAGATTAATAAGAAACGTTGTATAATGTTTTATCGTCGCTAAGATAAATCGACGTAGTTTCGCGAATTATTAGCGTGTAATTAAAAATTAAAGAGGAACCGTATAAATATTTGTCGAGCCACTTTTCGAACAGAGATACTCACTTCACTCACTCAATACAGTACTTAAGAGAAATTAAGTCATTAAAGCGCGATGAAGTGTCTTGCTTTTAACTCTTAACAATATTTCCAATTTCTCACGACAAATTATTCTTGAAGTTATGTCGAAAATATTTATCTGAGAAAACTATTATTAATAATTTCAAGAGAAATTTTTGTTCGTTATGCATTATTTTCAAGTAATTATTTTTAAAAATTTTAAGAAAAATATTCTGACATTGTCAACAATAAATATTCCAATTTTTCATTGGAAATTGTTAAATTTACATTAGAGAAAAGAATTATTCTTAATTATCACTGACAAATTAAAGTTCAAAAATAGTCAAGAAAAATAAGTAACTAAATAAGGAGAGAAATTACAGATTTTTTAAATTCGATTTTGAATAGTAAAAATGGAGTCTCAAAAATCCTAAGAAAAAATAGGACGAAAAGTTGCTAAAAATTTTTTACCTACGATTTTTATATTTCTCCAATTCTCTTCTTTCAAATCGATGTTAAAAATACGTAAAAAATCTTTATAATTCCACGATTTCTGTATCACCTAAAATTTCTAAGAGATGTTCCAATCTGATCGATAGATCGCCGAGGCTTCGATCATCGATCTATGAACAAGCGAACGAAAAGTGGCTCAGTGTAAATTCTTTCGTTGACATTTCAAGAGGATACCGCCCACGTTACTAAAACAATGAAAGAGAGGGACAGAGGGGAAGGGAGAGGAGGGAAAAGCGATAGGGGTAGCTCACAGTGAAAGCTCGAACCCGAGAATAAAAATGGGAGAAGTTGTCGAAGCATCAATATATCAAACTGTCGAGTACGTTGTAAAATTAGTTGAAAAATCTAGAGCTGTGCGCCATTTGAGGGGAGGACATTGAGTAAAATGCTCCTCAATCCAGCAGTATTTCTTTCATCCTCCGATCTCGTTCATTTGCCAGCCCTTTGAAGGAAACATGACAGCAAAACGATGTCATGGCTCTAATTCTATCGAACATCCAAACGAATTAAATAATAATAATTCTACAGTAAAACCTCAAATTTTTTTATTAAAAAATATATATATGGATCAACACTTTGCACTCTAGTATCCTCGTTTTAGGTACATTTTGAATCTAACAAAAGACTCTAATGATCACTCTAAGAGGGGATGAAGAAATGACTGGTAATTATTCAGAACAAAATTATGTGAACATAAAATTTGACAAAAATATGTGTTTAATTAAATTTTTAGCAAAATCTCATGTCAATGAAATAAATGATTCCAACGTTATAATATTTTATTTAAAAAATTCGTTTGTTGAGTGCAAAGAGTTAATAATAAGATAAAAAAGATTTGATTTAATTCTAAATTAATACTTGGATACAAATATAGTAATTATAAATGCAGAAAAATTGCTGTCATTATTAAAAACGGAAAATACGAGGTACTTAAGAGATAACTTAACAAAGCTACTAAAACTCAAGGAATAAGTATTACTCGTTCACTACATATCAAGATTGAAATTAATTTTTTAGCTTTGTTAAATTATTCAGTCTTCTTGATTCGAATGAATTATACAAAATGAAATGCTCTTCTTGGTTATCAATTCGATGTTCGATGGAATTCGAGGTAAAAGCAACAAAACAGCAGAATAGTAGAATCAGAGAAGAAAGGGATGGAAAGTGGAGGGTGAGGGAGGTGGTGTTTAAAAAACCTCTAATCAGATTTAATCGCACGTGAGAGCGTGCAGTTTTAGGACGAATATGTTATATATAAATATGAATATTATAAATATATAAATATATATATGAAAATATATATATTAATATTTAGATTTATATTATATGTATAAGGGGATGTTGACGTATTGCGATTATGGCAACGGTGGGGTGCGAAAAACAAGTGACACAGGGGACATTTGCATCATTTAATTAATTACATTATTATCATTACCATTACGATTATTAGCGATAAATTTTATGTTAATAATTAATTCCCTTTTATCGATTATCTGATCGAGAGATTAACCCTCGTTATTACTGATGTCGACGTTGACCTTACGCCTCTGATTATCGTCGAATTAATCATTACAATCATTATAATAAATGGCAATTAAGACTTGGTTATACTGTAGAGTCGAGGTAATTAAGAATCGAGATCCATCGATCGTGTTTGACAATGTCTTCAGTATTAATCGAAGTTATTATTGGGGAATGAAAATTCAGTACAACCCTTCTTCTCATATTCCATTAACACTTGATACTCATTTAAATTCAATTCACGAAATAATAACATACAATGGAATAACGAATAAAACTAATTTATTTTTTCGAATAATTAATTCTTAAATCGATGGTATACATTGCATCAAAAAGGGTTGTTCTGTGCTTCTCAGATAGTCCCAGCATCTTTCCATTCCAACTTCATTCTCTGTCATGTTTTTTAAAGGAACATATTGCATAAAATCCCATTATTTTTCATTCTGTCTTTTTTAAATTTTATTTCTCTTTGAAAGACAATCCCATAGCCAACGAGAAGCTGCAAAATTGCATTATGCAACGCGTAATTGTTAAGAGAAGAAGTGTTTGTAGCTATCCAAGAAGATTTTTCGTTATCTTGTGTTTGCAAGCCGATTGGAAAATTTCCATTGCTATATCATCTTTTCAGTTGGCATATGTAAATATAGGTTTTATCGTAAACCTCCTCTATGGTGGGGGTAACGCTGAGTGTATTGTTAATTAACGATGGCCTTTAAGATAGTTTAAGTTTCATCAGAATAGCGTACGAGGGAATGACGATGATTTCGTTGTATTAAGGCGATTCAGCTGTTTTTTGAAAGCGTGATTTTCTATGGGAACCGACGATGGCGACGACGAAGAGGACGAACGGAGATGTTAGAGTTAATTTTCGATCGATATTAATTATTGACATGAATTATATGCGTCGTGAGCAGCCGGCATTATTTTGTAAAGAAGAATAAAAATAAATTGACAAATGTACAAGAACGCGTCGATTGTTCTTTCTTTCTGTCTTACTGTGCATCTTTGTGTATCTTGTACAGAGTATTGATAAATAAGAAACAAATTTTTTAAATTGAGGGTTTTTAGTACTGAGGGTTCCAATTGAGAAGGATGAAAGTAGATAATATCGAATCTTCTTGAAATAAAATATATTCGATATTTTTAATAGTATATCTAACCTATTGCTGGATTAAATTTTCTTACAGTAAAAGAAAATGTAATTTGGTATTTGCAAGTGCTTTTGAATTTATTATAGGCAGACAATTATTTTTTAATTAGTATTTATTTAGAATGCATATTTGTGCATATTAATTACTCTGCTCAACACGAATTTAGTCTGTAAATTCCATCGGGTAAGTCTTATAGAGTTTCCTGAACACCAATCCATAATCAAAATTGCTTCATCACTCTCAGTTTTCGAAAAATGTGTTTCTTTTAAAAAGGCACGATTTTTGTCTCAAATGAAGTATTACGTGAAAAGTACAAATGTTGGAGGGCTCATTCTCATCTTAAAAATTATTTACTTACGTAAATAAAGAAAAGTATTTTATTATAAATATTCTATGAAATATTACATATTAGAGAGAAAGTTAAAATTTGTTAGACTTTTGATTCAATTCTGACCATAAAACGATAATTACTCTTTATTTAATATTCATTTGTAGATTAATTTATCCAATTATTAATTAATTAATGGATCAATCACTGGGAAATATTTCGAAATATTTAAAAAAAAAAGTATTTCTTTTAACAAAATTTTCTTGGTAAATAATTTAATATGTTCTCAATATTTTAAATTAATTGAAAATTTATAGGATATAAATCATAATTGTTAGCAGTTACCTTTTTATTTCAAATGCTTTATTAACAGTTAAAGAATTAAGATACAATACCTTAATCAGAATATGAGAAATATAAAATTTAATAGCACGAGGTAAAATTATGCATTCTTATAAACAATGTAATGAAGAGTGGGGATATGAGCATACTTAATGAGAGGAGTATTTAGAGGTACAATGTCAACAGGAGTAATTACTTCTTTGGATAAATCCGCTGGTTTATCTTGTCCTTCGGGTTTCGGTTGTTCTTTCAAGGGTGCAGGTGACTCTTTTGTGTTAACCTGTTCGCTGTTTTTCTTGGATTCTTGGTTAGTTTGTAAAGTAGTGTCCGCTGGTGTGAGAGAAGAATCTGTGAAAAAAAGTTTTTGTCTTTAATTGGAAAATTTGAAAATACAGTTCCTGTAAATTTTTAAATGTAAAGTTTGTGAATTTCAATACCGCAAATATTGGAATTTTTAATGCGGGTTTTAGTTATTGCAGAAATTGAAATTTTTAATTCGGAAATTTAATTCGTGTGAATAGTGAAATTCTAAATTTAGGACTTTAATTCAAATATATACAACAATTCTTAATTCGGAAATTTTATATTTACGAACAACAAGGTTTCTAATGTCGAAATTTAACTTAGAAATATTGAAATGTTTTATTTGATAACTTATTCAACGTGAATATAACAAATTTAAATTTAAAAATTTTATTTTTACACGTATTAAAATTTCCAATTTACGAATTTAACTTTTGTGCATACTGAAACTTATAACTTTGGAATTTAAGTTGTGCAAATGTTGAAACACTTTATTTCAAAAACTATCTTTTATAGGTACATATTATAATTTGTTATTTTTGGAAAATACTGACATGTTTAATATACAAATTTAACTTGTATAAATATTAAAATCTTTAATCCCATTTTTTAACCTCTGCAAATATTGCAATTCTCAATTTTAAATTTAAGATTTGATTTTTCGTTTTAAATTGAAAATTAGGTTGAAATTAAATTTCGAAGTAACTTTTCAAAATATTCAAATATATCGTTTCGAGATTACCCATTGCATGTAGCAGCATTTTCTATTTACAAATTTCAGTACACTCATATATTATTTTCTTCTTGCAATTATCGGTAGCAGTACGTTCCAAACCGTTATACCTGAATTCTTACATCCTGAAAGTATAATCTTAATTTGAAATTCTAATTTGTCAAATAATAAATTCACGAAAAAATTCGCCTCATTAAGTCAACAATCCTGTTGCATAAGGTTATAGTACTGCCATACTATTTGTTTCACGTTCAAGGTTAGTCATTTCCACCTCGCCTAGTGAATAGAATAGAATGACTTGTCGATAACGAGTTTTTGTGACACATAATACCTGGTGAATGCACATTCCTCAATTCTGTTTCGACCATGGTCGCGAAAGGACAGTGTTCCTTTGACACTCGAGTAATTTAGTAAGTTCACTTTGTTATACATTATCACCTTTCACTTGCTTCAATTCTAGTATCTGTATCTATTATTTTCTAAACAATATCTTATTAATATTAATATCGAAATTTCCATATGTTATTAACTGTCATTAATTTTTCTACAAATGTATTATATATTTAGTATTATATTTAATATTATAATTAAATTAGTTCTTTGACAGAACTATAAATATCTATAGTGTAAGTGTTTTTTTAAGAAAATGAATTTATTTGTTGACAATATGGAAGAAGGATATTGCGAAAAATCGTTAATTGAACAAGATATGGGTTGTGATAATGAACTTCAAGATGGTGAAGTGAACTTAGAACACGATTGGTTACGCAAACAGAACGACCTTCAACAAGAATTATAACTCTTTTCATTATACGCCAGTAACATTTCAAAATTCCTTTGTGGGGAAAAATATTAATTGGATCGTTTTCACTGTTTATTTCTGAAACTTCGTTCTCCACAAAATGGTTAATTTATTCATTGCAATGAAAAAAAAAGAAAGAGGAAAAAATATACATATATATGCATCATGTTTCAAATAATTGTTTTTATAAAAAAAATAGATCAATAAAATTAAATTGCTTTAGTTCTTTACACCTTCCTTTCATTTATGCTATTTTTATTACATAATTCTAAACTTTATATTCACCGATATATTTCATGGTTAATTCCTTGCAATTAATTTAAGTAACCTTTCGAATTATATATTTCGTAATATACATTATCCATAATATATTACAGAACTGAAAATTGTAGTGTTAATAGCATAATACTAATAATGCAAGTTATAGCAAAGAAATTTGCTAGTAAAAGGAGTGCGAAATATTTACCTTGAATTTTTATTGGCCTTTGTATAAGGTATGGATCAATGACTATTTTGTCTTGAGAAATTCTAAATATAGGTACCCTGGAGTTTAAGATTGATTCAGGTATAATTTGGCCGCTGGATGATTTAGTAGCCTCAGAAGTCTTATTCTGCGGCAATTGTAATCCAAGTTCCACCTAATTCATTAAAAATAATATGATTATTTATAAATATGTTTTTATCATGATAGTATAATAATTCAGCTAAGCCATACAATTTGTATTAGATTATTTCAAGTACTGGTTTATTTTTATAAATAAATTAAAATAAAATTCAAAGAATATTTACAATACTATACATCTTGGAATCATGGAATAATAATTAAAATAAAGAACTAAAATTTGTACAATCTTTTAACTTCAATTTAATCTATTGAAATGCAAGTTCAACAATATTAAAATTATTAAAATTATATAATATTCAAATAATTTATCAAAAATTATGTATGTCAATTATAACATTTTCCAATAGTTTTTATGAATTTTCTCACAGTATGATAGTAATAATAATTAAATTATATCAGAAATAAAATTAAACTTTTGTTTCTCTGAATTTTCTTTTTCATCTTTTGTTCTATATTCTTAAGGAACTTTAAAAAAATTTATTCTGTTCCATCATTTGCAATTGATTTTTATTATTTGTTACCTTCTTCTCTAATGGCTGGGGTCCCTGCAAAAATATATTCTTTTCCCCTACTTTTCCTTCTTCTTTTGTTACAACGACCTTTTGAAGGGGATTTATTCGAGCCGCAACTATAGTTGGCAAATTTTCTTGCTGATAAATAAGTTGCTAAGAAAATTTAAGGAAAATACTGTAAAATGATTGTAAAAGAGGTTAAAAAAACTTGATTCAAATTCCAAAATTATTGCAAGACGATATAAACAAATGTCACGAATAAATATATTATTTTGTTTAATGAAATTTGATCTGAAGTAGTAGTAATAAAATAGTATTTATATTATAATAATAAATAACGAATGACATAACTTGGTAATATTGAATAATTATTAGTATATAGGTTGAGTAACAAGAAATTAAATAATATTGGGTAATAATAGATTGTCTACACTGAATCTTTTATACTGCTTCTTATTCTTACCGGAAGTGGCGCCTGGGGTAGATTTGTGGCCGCTACCCGGAAGCCATTTTTATCGTCAGCAATGTATTGAGTAGTCTGAATAACACCTGCGTCATCAACGTAACTGTAAATACCACGTGTTTCGCCATTCAACGTTCTGATTTCCGATCTCGCAGAACCTGGTGCACTGTAGCCAAAACTGTACTGTCCATAACTATCTTGGTAGGCTAAGTACGGAGAAGTGACCAGGTCTGCAGAGACGAGACAACAGGAGAACAGAAGGATCTGAAAATAATTATTCAAACATTCTGATAGTTTTTTAATAACCAGATTTTATCTATGAAAGAAAATTTTTGATTGTAAAATTGATTCTGAAAATAGAAATGAGTGTTGAGGATTTTGCTTCTCGCGCTTCGAAGAATATTTGGAATTTTAAGTTTGGATGGGAATATTATTAAAAAGGAGTTAGAGAACAAGTTTGGAGAAATATGAGTATGCGAAATTGGAGTTAGTGTAAAGAAGGCTTTGAAGCGAGTTATGTTTTTAAAATCATGAAATAAAGGTGCAATGAATTTTGGTATTAATTAACATTATATAAATTTGTTATTTATTTAACGATTGTTAGTAATACTAATTATTGTATCAATGAATCTTAAATCAGAATGAAATTATGTTATGAATTTATATATGTAATATGCATAAATAATATAATATATATTATAATACATTGTTTATATTAAATAACAAAGCAATTATAAAATTTCAAAGAATTCCTATTTGTTCAATTCAAACGTTTATAATAAAATCAAGAAAACTAAAACAAATTGACTAAATTATACTAATATAGTTTTCTGTATCCATAATACATGAAATAAGCTTCTCAAATTAAAATATGAAAAATAAGACCACAATTTTATCCTCTTCAAACAAGATCGAAGATTCATCAATACTTTCAGATATAAATAAATATATATGTCTGAAATTTCTATATTATCTGTCACAAGTAAAGTTTTAATTACAGGGACCCAGAATATTGAATAAAAATACTCCACAAGGAAAATATTACAATTAATACCATGGTTTCCATCATAAACAAATTTGTAAATCCCAAACCGAAAGAATTCACTAAAAAATTATAATAACACAATAAGCATTAATTAATTCAGCAACTCGTATATCACATACAAACTTGAAATACAAATCTAAGAATATTAAATAAAAAATGATCTCACGAACAATATCACAAAAATGAGAGATATATTAAATAAATTCTAAGTACAAAATCAAGAAATTCACATAAGACTATCCAATAAAGAAAAAATTGTTGAATACAAAACCAAGGAAACTAAACAAAAATTATACAAAAACGAAGTACTATAAATGTTACAATAATGTTTATATAATTACAAACTATACAAGTTTGTACGTTCAAATAAAATTTTAATCCACGAAGGAACCACCATGTTACGACATAAAAGGAACAGAAAATATAAACATGAAAAATCACAAAGAATTCAAACATTCCTGTCTCGTAAACCTCCCGAAACGAAACTAACAGCACACTCGAAAAGTACACCCAGATCCTGCACAGAAGAATCCAGCGCATCAGGAATCCTAATGAAATTCACTCGACGAGACACTGAGCCCAACCACTCGAAGCTTGAGAAGCACTGCCCCATCCCCATGAAACCAGACCACTTCACCCATATCTATCTACGCCCATAGGAAGCGAAACAGCTCCATCCCGGTCACCCACGCAGTCCCGCTTCTTCCTTACGTATACGTTCCTCATGGCGATTCGATTCGATATTCTTTCGTCTCCTCGCATGCATTGGCCACTTTATATAGAAAACAAGCGAGCCTCAAGGGTTCGACTGGTCGCGGAAACGCAAGTATCGGAGAAGCACGAAACTGGTCACGCCTGTCCTCAAGGACTCCATGGTTTGGAATCCGGCTCTCGAACATTTTCGCTAAAGCTTTTTTCCACTATTCGAAACCTGAACATCGTGCTATGCCCTAATATGTCCGCTCTTCAGGGTCGTCCTGAATCGAAGATCCGCGTGTGCGCGAGAGGGATCTCCTATCGACGCCATTTTCCACGGTAATCTATGGATGAGGAATTTTTATTACAGTCCTAGCTCGAGGAATGTGCACGTGGGTACGTTGGAGAAGAATTTAGGAGACTTTTAGAGGAAGTATCGAGGCTTTGTAGAGGTAAGCATAAAAGAGAGAGTGATATTGAACGGCTGGATTGAAATTCTTCTTGAGAGGCATTGTGGGTACGCGTGTTTGAGGTTAGGAGACGGCGCGAGGGAGAAGATGGCGCTAAGTGACTCGGGTAATGGAGGCACAAGAAGCTTGGATGTTTGATCCTATGAGGTTCGTTAGAGGAGATTTGAAGTGGACATGAACTGATAGTTAGCCATATAGTTAGTTGGTAATGAAATGTCATTCTAGTAACTTGTGACGTCCAATTTTCTCTGAAATAGGAAGTTCATAAATTGTATTAGGTTTTAGATTATTTGAGATTCGTTTAAGATTCATTAGGGGTTGTTTAAAGTGGATTTTACATGGTATCTGGTTATGTAATTAATTGATAATTAAATATCGTAATTTTTGTAATTTGTGACTATTTTAATTATTTAACTTTTTAAACTGGGAAATTTGTAAATAATTATATCGATCACTTTTGATTGAAATTGAACTTCAATTATATTATTAGTAACTTGTAATATTATAATATAATTAATTATGTAATTTTTATACGAGTAGAATATTTGATAATTGAATTTTAGGAAAATTCTGAAAAATACTAGCAATAAAGTATATTCCTTTATCATTTCAATAGGATTTTACAATAAAACATAGCAAATATAAACAAATTAAAAATAATAAATTCGAAATATTACAGAATAAAAATAACTTTTTATCTTTGCAACATTTTTTTTAATGCATAAACTCAAAAATTGTAAAATAGTATAATCTTTGGTACTTTTAAGTCAGCAAAAGTGGAATATTATTTAAAAATTTCTTAGAATTAAGTAAACAATGTAAAAGTACTATGGAGATGTCTTAATATATCCTATTTTATGCAACGTCGAAACTAAATGGAGAATATTTCTTTTCAAATGTTTTTTACAAAACATTGTATCATAAATTTCCTTTTATATGTCCGCAAAAAGCAACATCCGGCTAATAAGCTTTGTCGTTAGCGTCTCGAGGAAAAAAGTTAATGGAACTATAAAGTGCACAGTAGTGTCATTGACAAAGAGTAGCAATTTGGTGTTAATATATCGCAAAACCGCACTGATTGCATATCATTAGTGGTCACGGATGATTCCTTTAGCGAAACGACGTTCATTATCTGTACCATTTATTAAATGGTTTATTTTATGCACGCATCAGAAACATGTTTTGCAGTAATAAGTGCAGTATCGGGACCAACATTCAGTTTTGTAATGACTGGAAAATACGAATGAAAACATTTTCATTGTAATGTAGAAAATTAAATCGAAGACAGGAATGCAGAATACGTAAAAAATATTGTAACATTGGTGAAATAATTATTTAATTAGAAGGTATTTTTATTTAAAGAATGAGGATAAATCAGAAAAGTTGATAAAAATTGTGTGGAGGGAAGAAAAAAAAACAAATACAAAAAGACTTAAAAATAAAAATAATTATACAATTAGGTACACAAATAAATCACTAATTTTCTAAAAATATTATAAATGCTAATAATACAAATTTTAATGTTAAAAATAATACAAAAAAGTATAATTATAAAATTAATAGATAAAATTTAAAAAAATTAATATCAGTTTTAACCTAAAAAATCACTTCAAAATTTGCATATTTTACAAATATAATTTCTCCTACTTTTGCTGTAATAAATTAAAAACAGTAATTTTGTCTTTACAAAATCTGTAAAATTTTCACCTATAACTTCTTACATACAATATTCTTTATTTTTAATACAATAAATTAAGAAACAAACGAATCTTTATTAATTTGCACATTTCAGAAGTACGATATTTATTATTTTCACTCTAATAAATTTAATAAAAAGTAATTTTATATTTATAAAATTACTAAGTTCATAATTCACAACTTCTCTCGTACAATATTTCCAAAAAGCAAAAATAAAAAATATTGTAATTTTTATATTTTTATAAAATTCTTAAGTGTTCCGTTTCTACTGTATTCAAACTGTAACTACAGAATGATTTCATCATTACTATATTCAGAAGGCTTTCCAAAAAATTTTGAAGTCAAATCACAAATGTTTGTGAAACAAAGCTTAATTTCTTCCAATAGGTGTTCCACTGCAATAATTAGGTAATTCAGTGTTGTATGTACAGTCACTTTATAGGAAGTCCGTGTCTCCACACCATTACACCTGTGCACGCGTCTCTATAATCGTCAGTCTGGCCATTTGCATACTATCCTCGACCCAAATTCGATGCAATCGATCCTGACGCGACGTGCACATTCTGCTACAAAATCGCCGTGACATTAATATGTATCGAATCCCCTCGTCTATCGTGTCCGAATGAAACTAGATGCCGGAATTTTTTGTCGGACAGATCGCGAATTTATTGACAGTTGAAACGTAATATCTATTTTTTGGCTGGTGGTTTAATTATTGCTCATTATTACATTTAGATATGACAATTTCGCAATAAGTATCATTGCATTCTCGATCCTTCGTTAAATTTTTTTCAATTGTACTATAAAAACTTCAATTTATTGCAACGAATGCATGATTAGATAATTTTTCTTTTTTGAAAAATGATCTGATATATTAATTCCTTTTTCTTTTAAATGTGGTGATGATTTTATTTGTTCAAATTTTTATTTCGTAAAATATAAGAGATTTGATACCAGGTTTTTACTTTTCCTGTGACACATTAATATAACTTGATAATTTATTTATTATTTATTATCACTACCTTGTACTCATTTACTAGTTTATTTTATTATTTATCATTATCTTTACTTTTTCCATTATTATTATCGTTACTCTATTATTCCTCTAATTCCAATTAACATTATTTACCGTTTTTTTTGCAAAATTACTATTGACAACTATACTCGCATTTGTCATCATTAGCCCGGTTAAGTACCAAGGTCAAAAGGTAGTATCTACAAAAACTCGTTTCTGAAATATTCAAAAACGGAGCAAATTAAAGAAAAAAAGCATTAGGTCACGTTTCAGGGACGATGAAAACATGGAATAACCCAAGGCTTCTTCGAAATTGTCTTTATTAAACCAGTATACAAACATCATTTATCCCCATATGGCAGTTTCGACAACCTCATCACCCCGCCCAAAAGTGTCAACATAAAAAGATCACGAAAAATAAAAAGCAACGGCCAAGACGAGTGATTTGCTTCAATTTCCATAGCCTAACGCTTCCGTGTGATATAATCAAACGATAAGACAAAGCCAGCCAATTGTATCCTAAGAAGAAGAAAGAAGTTGCTCTGCCCAGAGAACAGCGGAAGTCATCCCCGTCCATGTTCCCATGTTCTCTCGTTACGAGCAACTACTTATCAGCTAATTATTCACGAATGGTCCTGTGTTCTCTTGGTTCACGGTCAGTTGTTAATAGACGAGACGTCCGTAGGCGAGTGCAGGGCCAGCGACAGTAAGAACGTCGGCAGACTTGGCTGCCTCGGTGGCCAGGGTCAGTTTCTCGTTTAGGTGGGCAGTCGCATGGGCGGCCTTCGCCACAGCCACTTCCGGTGTGTCCTGCACCCTACCGTCCGGACCGATGGGTGCCCCAGGAACCACCACGGCGTTGCTAGCCACCAAGGGAACCGTTACTGTTGGGGTGGCAGTCACTAGCGTCGCCGATGATCTGGCTGCCTCGTTGGCCAGGTTGATCCTCTCGTTGATCTGAGCAGCAGCGTGGGCTGCTTTCGCTGCAGCCACTTCCGGGGTATCCTGCAATCGACCGTCAGGACCCACTGTCGCTGCTTGGACCACTGATGAAACTATCCCATTGGCCACCAGAGGTACCAGCGGTCTGGAAGTGCAAGGTTGAGTACTTAGCTCGGGTTCCTGGGATTGGAGAGTGGAGTTTTGGGTTTTACGAGAATATTCATCGGTGATAGCTTTATTCACTGGGCTTGTAACAGACTGGTTTGAGAATAGATAAATTGGGAAATAGAGTTTGAGAATTTGTAGGAAATGGGGGATGAAGTTTCGAGACATTGGGAGTCTTAATAGGGTTGGTTCAGGTGGAACTGAGGAGCAGGGTTAACAATAGGGTTCGTTCGAGTTGATATATGAAGATTAATTTAGAGGGAGCAGTTTGGAAACGTAAACAATATTTGGGAATAAGGGTTGGGAGAATAGTATGGAATTGGGGATTACGGTTCTGAGGTATGTAACAGACTTAATAGGATTGATTTAAATGGACGAAGGGAAGTATTTTAGGATGGCTAGTTTGGAATGTATAAGGATTTGAGAATTGACAATTGCAGGGATGAATGGTTTCAAGGACCTATGAAGGTTTGAACTACTTGTGTAACAAAGTTTGCTTAACCCTCAAAACGAATTAGGTATACGTGATGGAAGAATTTATGTAATAAATGTAAGAAGTTCAAGTGTCGAATTGAGAAATAAAATTCGCATTATTGACTATTTCAGACACATTTAATTCAATTATGAACCGTACAAATAATTGTTTAAAGTAATTCTGAAAATATAAACGCTGCAAAAATTGCAGAGATACTTCCTCTGAACTTCTTACTATCAAAATTGGTCAACTCCAAGCTTGACCTTACCCGTAAGACTTATTCAAGCAACCAACGTGTTCTTAAAATGAATTTGAATCATAAATAATTTTCAAAATATCCTAGAATGAAACAAAACTTATATCCCTCTCTTCGAGGCAATTGAAGCACCCCTATGAACCCAAGAGACCCAGATTTTCCTGAAGGAAAGTCACCTGGCGAGATCCGCAGCGACGGACCTGGCTGCCTCGTGATCCAGATTAATCCTCTCGTTTGCCTGTGCAGCAGCATGAGCGGCCTTTGCCACTGCGACTTCCGGTGTGTCGACGACCCTGCCATCAAGACCGAGGGGTGCGCCAGGTACCAGTACTCGAGGCGCAGCCACCACCAGTGAAGGCTGTTTGACGACTGTCTGCAAACCACCAGAGGACCTGACAGCCTCATCAGCCAGTTTTAATCTCTCGTTCAGATGAGCAGCCGCGTGTTCTGCCTTGGCAACAGCCACTTCCGGCGTGTCTAGTACCCGGCCGTCGAGTCCAACAGGGGCTGCAGGGGTCAGAGTAGCGATCAGGGGCGCGGACAGGATTCCCGGCTTGGCCAGGACCGCGGAGACCAGGCCTGCAAACAGCAAACCGGCTACTGGTCCCATGACGATGGCGTTTGAGGCTGCTTAGGTGTTCAGAGGCTTCCGACCAGCTGTTCTGAGGAGGGATCGTCGACGAATCGATGGCTGATCGATCGTGGTCTCGCTCGGGGGATCGTTGGACGCGCTCGAGACTATGAGACGCGTCGGCCTAGATCAGCTTTTATAGGCGTAGATCAGATATAAGCCAAGTAGATCACGTAACGAGGGTCCCGGGTGGATTTTTCGCGACATGGCCTGCACGGAGCACGCGCGTTTCCGTTCCCCTGGGGCAAGGTAAGCATGCTGTAAAACGAGTACGGTTTCTGCGGGCGTCGCCAAGTGAGGAAAAATCGCTACGAGGGCTCTCCATTTTCGTGGCTCTCTCACCAGCACGGGAAGATACCCGATCCCGTTGTCATTTCTCCGCTAACCTGGCCATGAACACCGAGGGCGACGCCAGTGAAGGCCAACGATCGCGTTTGTCACCTCGGTCTACCCTGATATCCTACTACTGCGGGCTGGATCACGTAGCACGATTTTTTAGAGACGTTCCGTTGCTATATGCAGATTTTGAGTTGAGATTGGGTCAGCTGACTGGGTGGTATCGAGTGTTTTCTTTGGCATTGACTGAGAGATTTGAGTACTGCTGGTAAGTGGGTTCAGCAACTTGGTACTCACTTTCCTTACTCTTTTCCAGATTTATTTATCACTTTTTTGACAAATTAATTTGTACGTTTATTTTCATTTTCTATTAATTATATTAAATTTATGTGTTATTTTTATTTTCATAATAATATAATTTAAATTATATTAAATTTATTTATTCTGAATTTATTTAAGGTTCTGGTTTTATTCCAGTTATTCCAGTTCTTTGTAAGCAGATGGTTTGGGTATTATGGATATAAATTAAGTATAAATTTGAGATTATAGTTACTCTTTTTACTTCTTACTTAGGTTAGTCTTAGGCTTTTCAATTAATTTTTGTGAATGATTTGAATAGTCTAAACTACATAATGGGTTGTTAAGAGTAGGCTTAAGTTAAATAAGGAGGTTCTGATATTAAGTTTCTTGTTTAAATTAAAATTTGGCTTTAATTAAATTTTGTTGATAATTTGAGTACTTTGGAAGAGATAATGGCCGTTCTAAAGTAATATAAAAGATATTCTCTCATAAAAAATAGATGTAATTCTAAATTTTTGTTTATTATTTTTTATTCTCGAAGAGTTATGATATTCTCCCTTCCCTTTATTTTTATTATTCTTTTTATTAAGTGAACAGCATTGTTTAATTTCTAGATCCTCTTCGAAATTATATTCAAGAAGAATTACTATTCATTACAAAAATATACCCCTTTCTTACTCGAAAATTAATATTCCTCAATATTAATACATACCAACTTAATTACTGCTTTCAGTGGTAAATTAATATTATTACAATAATGAGAGTGTAACGTAGCAGTGTGGTATCAAATGGTATAATATAATTGAAGCGTAATACTATAGCACTGGCATGGTATTACCATATTATTGCTGCATAAATATTAACATTCGAAACCGATATGCACTTTAATTTGCAGTTTAATTTATAGCTTCCTTATAAAAAATAATTCCAATTTCAAATTTAACACTAACAAATCCTTTATTCAACTAAAAATCAACAAACGAGTCCCTAAATAATTACACCCAATTATTCCAAAATTACAAAATGAAATAACCAATTCCCAAAAAATTGTTATAAAATTATCCAATCAACGAAAATGTCGGCATTTTGAGAGTACTGAACTAAAACTTGCTCAGCACTCATCCACACTGGCTTACATAATGATCTACAATCCTCCAGCAGAAACGTGACACTGAAACGCATTTTTTACAATCCCTTGCATCACTCAATTTCATGTTACCTGCTCTTGTAATCCACTGTCACACTACACAAAAATTCCACGTCTCTTCGACTTAGCACACTAACACACCGCCCCAACCCAGAAATTACAAACATTCACAAAGAACGACCCAGACGTTGAACACTTACTTACTCTATCGAATAAAAATCTTGAGCCTCGAAGTTTCCTCTCGGATGAACAAAAACTCAATTAAAAATCTCAGACAGAATCTCCTTTGATGTATCAGAGAAACTTCGAGGCCATCGATGTAGGAAATTGTGGGTCTCGTAATAGCCGCGTAAGAAGTCTAGAGTACCGAAAAAAAGGGGACAAAGAAAAAGAGGGAGAAAGAAAAAGGCATGTCGATAGCATATTCGACAATGTATCGAGGATCTAGCAATGAAGAAAGACGAATTCTACGGACCTCGATTCGACCGAATGTCAATGTCAGGTGTGCTGGATTTTATTGGGCATAGCGTTTCCCATTCGCGCGTTCTCCCATCGATGAACGCGTGCCCCATGGAGCGAAACCTTTTCTCCCAGGTGCTATATAAAGGCCAGGGGACGAGGTGGACACCATGAGACCGGACCAAGGCACCTTGGCGAGTACTGTACCTCAGATAGCGCGCAAGGAGCCACGTTTGTTCACGATGAAGACCCTGGTGAGTGTTTCTCGTTCGTTGAACCTCTGCTTTTTCTTCGTTCGCGGATTTTCTCTGTCATGAACGCTGTGTTTGCTTTGAGAATGGGTTTGATGGCTGTTTAGAGGATTGCATTAGGACTTTGAGAAGTGTGAGGAATTGCAGGGATTTGAGAATTACATTAGAAATTTAGAAATTGGTTAATTGTTTAATTTTTTAATACTACTTTGGTATTTTTAGCTTGATTCATTTTTATTTTTTAAATTCGGTATAATTTGTAAACTCGTGTGAGCAGGTATAAACTTTGTACAATTTCAAATGCTAAAATTAATGAGATTAGTCAATTTTCTATTTGGACGAACATTGTAGTTCGATCTATTATATAATAATATTTTGTTTTTTTAAATGTAATATTTATATAATTTTGGATCTATTAAAAATATTATTATTATTATACATAAAATGTAAAATCTCTATGCTTTGGAAATAGAGTATCTTTTATAGTTGTTAGTTTTAATTTGGCACTTATTAAATTCATAAGTTTTCATTTTTCTAAGTATATTATTATATTTCAATTTGTTAAATAATACAGTTTCTGGCGTTCGAATGTAGCATATCTTAGTATTCTAAATCGTACATATTTTATTTTAGATATACAATATTTCACTGTTTTGATTATACAAATTTTTTTTATTTTTTAATTACGGAAGACTAAATAATTTTGATTTTAGAGGAATATATACATTTTTATATATGTATACCTATTTCAACAAGATTATGGTAACTTTAATACGTTTAATTTATTACTAGGAAAGTACAAATTTTTTGAAGTCGAGTCTTGAAACTAATATATTTGATTTCTCTGATAATTTGACAATTTTAACGACAATATATCGAAGCAATGAAATTCATTACATAAATTAATAAAATATTCAAAATTAATGTAATTGTATACTTAAAATAACTGCAAGATGTATCTTTTAAGATACGATCGACAGAATTTGTATTTCATAATTTCGTAAAATTTATTACACTGTGAAATACAAGCATTTCAACTTTGTTTTCAATATTGAAAAAATTTTAATTTGCATTGCAATAAAATTTCAGTAAGATTTTCCTAAGTCACGTAACATTTTGGAATATAATATTTAGCATCTTTAATTAGCATTTAGCAAAGTATTAATTACTTAGATATCCTGTTGGTCTTTTAAACATTTTTAATTATTGATAAAACATTTGTCATTATTCTTCTTATAAATTACATTATTATCACAAATCTTATTTAAAAAATCTCAAACATAATTTGCAAATCAAGTAGTCCAAAATTCTTATTTAAACACGAACAGATAATAAATCATGTTATTGTATATAAACATATAACAAGCTAATATTATTTATTATTTATTTATTGTTACTAAAGGGAATATTTTGTTATTAGATTCGAAGATCTAAAATCTTATAAAAATAATTAATCTAATAAATTTAATGAAACACCAAAAATCGAATTAACATTTTTGAAATTTTCGAAACTGAGTACAACACGTTTAATCCCAAAACCAATTAATAATTCAATTTTGATATTGTAAAATTATATCTACATTTAACCCCAAAATAAAATAATAACTAGTTTCTCATAATTCATTAAATTTTAGAATCAAAAAATCTGATTAAATGCATTTCTCATGCTATCAGTTGAAAAAGCAGCCTATGCAAAATTTGAAATTAATTGGACTTCTTGTAATTGGTTTTCCACCATTGCAGTCTACTACTATAATGCATGTCTGTATCACTTTTGATTCTATGAAAATGTATACAAAAAGAAAGTATAATTATATTTAAGAGAAACCATGATATTGAAATTTCAAAATTTGTGAAAAAATTGTGAGAAGAAGGCTTTCTTCTTCGGCATTTGCATTTATTTCGTCAAATAGTGTAACTTTTGTTAAAAAAATTTTCATATGTTCACAACAATAGAAAATGAAGTACAAAAATTTAGAAAAATGTTCACTTCTCATTATCTGATAAATTTCAGATTTTACTAAGGTTATTTTTCCATCTAATAGCATGTTTCTAAGGAGCATTCTAAAAAAATTTGTCGTCACGTATAAGGAAGATAAACCTTACCCTGCACTCTTCATATAAAACAACGTAAAAATATTTAAAAAGAAAACTATTTTATTATTATACCACCTCAATCTCACAACCAAAACCTAAATCTCAAATTTCGAATATCAACTGTCTGATCCACCCTGTACGGTCACTCAATTCCCCCATTTTCTATTGCAGATCGTTTTCTCCGCTCTGTTGGCAGCAGCGTTCGCGCGGCCAAGCTTGCTCCTGGCGCCGCCGGGGGCAGCACTAGCGGCGCCCGTGACTCTCACGAAGTTAGTGCCTGGTGCGCCCATTGGACTGGACGGTCGTGTAGTGGACACCCCAGAGGTAGCTCTGGCGAAGGCTGAACACGCAGCAGCCCACTTGAACGAGAGAATATCCCTCGCAAACGAGGCGTTCAAATCCGCCGATCTGATCACTTACGCGGCGCCTGTGCTCGGAACTAATCTGGAACCCATTGCTCTCGCGGCCAGGATCGTGCCACCTGCCCCCCTCGGACCCGATGGACGCGTTGTGGACACACCGGAAGTGGCTTTGGCTAAGGCAGAGCACGCTGCTGCTCACATAAACGAGAAGATCGAGCATGCTGCAGAACAGGCCGCGAATTCTGCTTCCTTGGAACTTCCTGTCGTCGTCTCGGCGTATTCGGCACCGGTGATCCAGAAGGTTCTGCTGTGAGGTTCACACGATTGATTGGACCGTCCCCTTTGGCGACGTTGGCTATATGAGATACTCGTTTTTTGTACATAATTGTGGGCTGATTGAATAAAGCGATATTTAATACTAAGTCTGGATGCGTTCTTTTTGATTCTTTTCTTTTTCTTTGTTTCACTGAAATACTCTGGTATTTTTTGTTTTAACAGTCTGATTCACTTGGTGATATTTAATACTTTGCCCTTTCTGTTTCTTTTTTCTTTTTTATTTTTTTGGGGGGAGGGGAGAATTTATATATAACAAAATTTTGATGTCGAACTTTTTTTTAATTATGTTGATATTTTGGGGAAATCTGTGGCACGATCGGATAAGGATTTCAACAAATATACCTTGTGTAAAGGGTTGAAGAATTTAATAATGGATGAAATATTTGTTTAAGGCACTTTTTTATTTTATTTAATGTTAGCTTTGGACAAAATACGTAGATAAAGTCTATTTTATAAAATTATTATAGAATATATAACATATATTTTAGAATATTCTAGAATATTCTAGAATTCTAGAAAATTATAAAATATAAAATATATTCTAGAATTCTAGAAAATTATAAAATATAAAATATATTCTAGAATTTTAGAAAATTATAGAATATAATTGATTATTTATCCTTTACGTTTTCATAGTATTCCCGATGTTTCAATAGAAAATAATGAATTGCTTTCTGTAACTAGTGGAATATGATTAGATATGACCGAACAAGATGGAATTTAACTAATTAGGTTATACATTAAGATTATAATCTTTTAAATATTCTATCCGTTCGAGACTTTAATACAATATGCATTAACATGAATATAAATGTGTCTCTTATATATCTTTGTATCTATTTTGTTTCTTTCAAACTAATTGCAATATATAATTTCACGTAAATTCCAAATTCCTTAAATCTAGATAAGAACATTAATGAATTAATATAGAATTTGAATTTCCCATTACTAAATTAGCTAATTGTGTGTTTACTTGTATTAAAATTTTTAATGAAAATAGAAATAAATGTATGAATTTTTATCACAATACATTAATGTTATTTTTATTTTTATTACATTATTACAAATTTTATTATACATCTTTCGTACACAAAATTGAATACAATATTACATTTTATTACATTTTAAGCAAACTAATACATCGAATAAATAACTAGTTATTATTTTCTAATATACTTAAATTATTATATTAAATATACTCGTTTTAGTGGATGGGACATGCTAATAATTAAAGTAGGAGTATGAAATACAAAAATGGGAAGGTAAGAGGGAGAAAGTAGAGTGGAGGGGGAATGAGTTGGTAGAAATAAAAACACTTTCGATATGCTTTCGTCAGTTAGCCACAGACTTTCGTGGCAGTAACATAGCAGTTGGGTCCCTGATTAGATGTTTAAACTATAATATAATTAAATAACCAAATATTAATATAAATAAAATTAGTTTAGCTTGATATCATCCAAAGATAGTATCACTTAAAGATTTATTAGCATATAATGTAAACATACATTTAATTAACAAATAAAATATAAAATTCTTTAACTGGTTTCTAATATATAAAATTTTAATTAACCTTATTATTGATATTTCTCTTACATCCTTAATGTAACATTTTATTGAAACCTCATACAAAGAAGGATTTTTAAATTAAAAAAGAAACACGTTAAAATTACTATTTTATTTTCATTCTAAGAAAAGTAATTTAATTAAAATTATATACATTCTCATATTTATATACAAAACTTAAATATTTGTATTTTTAACATCTTTCTTTATTTTACTGCTTGCTTATTTCTTTCTATTTCCCTTTCCTTTTGTACTACAGTACTTAAAATTGTAAAAGCCTTATAATACTATGTTCAAAATTTACGTGTATGACACAATTAATTTTCTAACCTTGAAAAAGAATATAATCCTGATGTGATTTCTGTTACAAACTATAAGCAAAGAATCCTGTCATCGATGACTGCTTACACAGATGTTTTACACGAAAAGGAGAAACAAACATCAGCCCATAAGCAGGATCATATGAACCAGCATAAATCAAGGGAGAAAAATGGAGGAAAGGAATTTCCATAGAAGTGGCGACTGACATACAATACATCTCATTAGACGAAGGAACTACACCATAAAGCAGTATTGTCATTTATTATACAAGTGTAAGTAACTATTAACGTAAAATTAATGAATTTCTAAAGGTATCTAACAAACTGTGCCATTTATTCCTAAATATTGTATTTTCGATATTCAAATTATTTAAATAAATTATATGATTGCGCAGTTACTTCATTTCTGAACCCATTCACAAATACTACATCCATTTTCCTATAATAGCACCGAGTACCAAATAATAGATAATAGATAATGGATAATAGATAGGCTTGGAAATTTTCGGAATTGCTTGTATTAAAATACCTTCTGTCGCATTATATTCTCCTAATACAATCCCACTATTTTCGACAAAATGTATCCTAGAATCGATAATGCAAAGAATTCTTGGAATGTGACGTCCAATTCCTGGAATTGCCTGTGTTAGAATACCTCTTGTCATATCATAGTCTCCTGATATATACCTGCCATTTTGGCCAGAACGACGGTACATGAATCCCAGAATCCATAATACCAGAAATTCTTGGAATTTGGCTCCAAATTCCCGGAATTGCTTGTATTAAAATACCTCCTGTCGCATCATATTCTCCTAATACAATTCTGCTATTTTCGACAAAATGTGTACATGTATCCTAGAATCGGTAATACAAAGAATTCTTAGAATGTGACGTCAAATTCCCGGAACTGTCAATGTTAGAATACCTCTTGTTGTATCATATTCTGGTTGACAGTTCCACTATTTTTGACAACATGAGGATGCAAAGATCATAGAATCTACAGTGCTAGGAATTCTTGGAATTTGACATCAAGTTTCTGGAATCTCCTGTTTAATATTTACCGTGTAACATGGAGAAAAGACTCAAGTACTCGTGAATCAGAATCTCTAAGTGTTCCTGTAATGTCATATATACGAAATTACCGGTGATTTCTTACTTCATTTGACATTATATTCTCCTAATGCAAAGTTTCCATTTTAGTCAGTCGTTGAAAAGCAATAGAGTTTGATTGATTGATCTTCGTTTTGTTATAAGTGGTTCCAAGTTTAATTCTGAATTAATAAAAGATTGTATTTGATATTGCATGTGTGGTTTATTTAAGATATTGTTATATTTTATACATTTCCGATTTATTTAGTCTTACATTACAATGATGATTCTGTATGTGGTCAATAATAAATTGGACAGTATAATTTATTTGTGTATAATGTATGCAGTATATGGATATATGGTCATGTATATTCATTATATACATGTTCGCTATATGCATACAATACATAGATAGGCATGTAGTACACATATAATGAAGCACGTATATAATATAATATAATATAATATAATTTAATATAATAATATAATATAATATCAAATAATATAAAAATAAAAATAATTTAATATAATAATACAATATAATGTAATGTAACATAATATAATATAATATAGTCTACAATAGGTATATTATGCTGTAATGTACAATATGTGAAATAATATATATCATATATATATATAATTGTTTAAAGCATTTGCCTTTATGGAATTACAATCATTTACAGCACCTTGAAGGAAATAGGAAGATATTTATCAATTGTTTTATTTATTGAGTTGTAAACTGTTGAATATATGTATTTATTCGCATTTGATATGTAACGAAATTTAAATCTTACGTATCTTAAATAATTTTAAATATTTACATTCATACATTTATTAATCTATGGTAATTATTGATGTACTTTGAAAATGTAATTATCATTTTTACTTTCTTTCAAATGAATACCTAACGTTGATAAGTAAAATTACAAAATTACAAGGAGATTTCCTATTCATTTTGCACCCTTCGTTTGCGAACCGCTGTTTTACGCCGTTCTTTCGTCAGGATATCGAAGAATATGAGACAGTCAAGGTCGCTGTTCAAGCCTTTTCCTGCGCCCACGAAGAGTATTGTTCGCGTACACAATTCGAGGCGTAGAAATAAATTCGAGCACTATTTTTCAGCGCCTGTAGCGCTTACATATCATTAACCCGACACTACAATGTCTGATTTCCTATTTCGATTCGCTGAAAAATGTTCAATACTTGACATTAATTGCTTAAAGATGACAACATGATAAAAGCGTGATAAATTAGAAGAATTGTAACGAATATATTATTCTCAAATATTTAAAAAAATTACTTTTTCTTTACAATCTTTTCTGATCCTTAAATTCTATTGTTGCTATTTTTTGTTTCTTTGTATAAGTGTTCATAATAAATCAAATAGATATGAATGGTTACTAATGATGTTATTTTGAAATAAATATGCAAGGGAAAATTAACATATTTATTATGTGAGCCAGTATCTTAAAAGGGAGACTACTTTTATTATTTACTGACAATTATGTCATGTTGACAAACATGTTTATTTAAAGTTACCTTTATTTCAATGTTGAAATGAAGATAAGTTTATTCTAAAAATTTATAAAAGACATAATCGTCTGAAACATAAACTAAAGACAATATATTAAATTAAATACTGTATTTATTATTATATTTATATATTAAATGTTCATATATATAATTATACTCATATATTAAATATTATAAATACATAATTATATATTTGTTATTGTTCCTATTTATTCTTTATTATTTTCAAATACGTGAAGAAGTATTTATACGTTAAATGTGATACACATCACTATTATTTATATTTTAAGTACAATATATATTATTGTATTTATATTTCAGATAATATTTATATCTTTCAAACTGTAGGATTAAAGATTTCCTACTGTATATTAATGCTAAGTTTCACTGTTACTTCAGCTACTAATTTATTATACCAATTAATTCATTTCAAGTATATTTCCTGACTGAACTAAGTACAAGGCTGACTTCC